CGGCGGCTGCTCAAGCAATAAAAGACCCCTCGCTCGGCCTCGTTTTATTTGGGGAGGGGGGTGGTCTTGGCGTGGGGGGATTCCTGGTGGGTTGGGGAGGGGTCCCCACTGTCCTCTTCCCAAGGAACTCCCAGCGAGGTGGAAGCAATATTGAGTTTATTTGGCATTTTCCTGAATTCTTTGGTTTTCCACCTAAACTGGAGAGGGTGGAAGCAGCAGGGGGTGTCTTTTGTGACACATCCMCCCCTTCCCAAAATTTATGTACATCAGCACTCATCCCCCAAAAGCTAAAACTGGGGGAGGGGTCTCCCACCCTATATATAAATTTATATAAAATGACAGCAAATGTATAAAAACAAAACAAGCACCGCGGGGGGGCACAGAGGGGCGCCCCCCCAGAGCGGGAGGTGGGGGAACCCCCCCACCATAAAATAAAAAAGGAGGGGGGGTGGGGACGCCCCCAAAAATCGGGCTCGGCGGTTGTTGCATTCYGGTGGCGCCTCCTGGCACTGCAGTTGCGAGTTGAGGGAGGGGTCGCGAATCCTCCTGCGGGGGATTTTGGGGGGAGGAAGGGGGTCAGAGGGTGCGAGGGGAGACTCCCGGAAYCCCCAAAGTTTAAGAGGCCTCCCCCGACCTGCTCTCATGTGAAGAGGCTGCGCTTGGCCAGGAAGAGCTGCCAATAATGGTCCTCGATTTCCTGGAGGGCAGGGGGAGGAGGTTATTGGGGGGGTCCCCACACTCCCTTTTGGATGGGGGAGGGACGGCCCTCACCTCACCCCGTTAAGGGGAGTCCAGACCCCCACAACTCCACTATCGGGGTCACCACCCATCCTTCTTGTGGGGCACAKACCCCCAAAGCTTCTCCTTATGGATCTTGACCCCCCACCCCATTAGGTAGTTTTTCAGGCCCGCTTTTGGGGAAGGCCCCCCACAGTCCCCTACAACTCTCCATAGCCCCCCATAAACCTCCCACAACCATGCTCTGGATCCCCCAAAGCCCAAAAAACCCACCCCGCTCTTGTCCCACATTCCTCACTGGGACCTTCCCGCCCCCTCCTCACCTTGAGCCCCCTCCCTCCTCTCGTGCTCCCCGTTCAAACCCCAGCCACCCCAAAACTCTCTCAAATCCACCCAAAATTCCGCTCCCGTGCCCCCCCCCTCACCTTGAGCCCCCTCAGGGCCTCCTCCAGTGCTCCCAGTTCAGCCCCCAGCCAGGCTGCTGGGCCAGCGGCGAGACCCAGCCCGGGGGGGAGGCTCTGCTCGGGACCCCCTCCCTCAGGCAGCCCCCCTGGGGACCCCCAAGGGCCATTGGGGACCCCCCCTGGGAGAGATGGAAAGGGGGAGATCAAACGCTGAATGTTAGGACCCCCCCTCTGACCTGGACATCCCCTCAAAATTTGGTGCCCCCTCCCCTCTAAGTTCCTTTCCTTGACTCCCTCCCCATTTTTTGCACCCCCCCACACCTGCAGACCCCCTCCCCAAGTTCGGGTGTCCCCCCGCACCTGCCGCTCCCCGCTCGGGGCGCTCCCCGTCGCTCTCGGCGCCATCCCCCGCGTGTCTCCGCTCCTGCTCGGGGGGGGCCACACCGGGACCCCCCCCCAAATCCTGCTCGGGCAGGGGGGGCCCCTCCCCCGGCGCCCCCCCCGCCTGCAGCAGCCGCCGCAGCGCCGCCACTGCGGGGGCACACGGGAACGGGAGTTGTGGGGTTTAGGGGAGGGGGAGGGTCTTTAGGGGCAATTTTGGGAGCTTTGAGAGTGTCTGGGTGAGGTTTTGGGGGAATCTGGGGAGGGTCTTGGGGGATTGGGAAGGTTTGGGGGGTGTTTGGGAGAGTTTTGGGGTTCAGGGGGAGGTGAAAGGGGGGATTCCAAGTGTCTTGGGGGTGGTCTCACCTCTCTGCAGGGCAGCAGCTGCCAACCCCCCCCCCTCGGGGCTGCGGGGGGGTCTGGGGAGCCCCCCCAGCTCCCCCCTCTCAGCCTCGCGTTTCTCGGGGGGGCCCCCGAATTCGGTGCCTTCCACAGCTCCGTCCTTCTCCCGCTCTGGGGGGAAGGAGCACAGGCTGAGACCCCCCTGGGATGTCCCAGAAACACCCCTGGGAACCCCCAAAACTACCTGGGACACTCCAAAGCCTGCCACGACCCCCAAACCTGCCCAAATTCTGTGCTTTTCATGGCCCTGTTCTTCTCTCGCTCTCCAGGGCGGGGACAAATGGCCCCGAGACTCTCTTGGGACACCCCAAAGCCCAACCCAAACCTCCCCCGCAATGCTAAAAAACACCCTGAACCCCAAAACCATCCCCGGGACATCCCAAACCTCTCTTAGAACATCCAAAACCTCCCCAAACATCACCCAGGCCCTCCAGCTCCCCCAGGGACCCTTTAAATCGGGACCCTCGGGACCCCAAAAAACCCTCTCAGGATCCTCCCAAACCCAAACACCCCCCAAGACCCCCCAGACTCCTCCAGAGAACCCTGACAACCCACACGATCCCCCCCTCACCGTCCAGGGGCAGCGGCTCCTTCAGGGCTCCACCCCCATTTTCAGAGGACTCCCGATAACTGGGGGGGAAGAGGATCAGTAAAGAGACCCCAAAAGCCCCCCAAGAGCCACCCAGACCGCCCCAAAATCCTCCCACACTCCCCTGGGTTATCCTGGGAGGGTGGGGATGATTTTGGAGGGGCTTTGGGGGTGTTTGGAAGGGGTCTGGGGCAGCTGTGAGGCTGGGAGTGGCTTTGGTTTGGTTTGGGTGGGTTTTGGGGTGATTTTGGGGGGTGTGAGTGGTGTTTCAAGGACGTCCGGGAGCATTTTGGGGTTGTTTTTTTTGGTGTTTCACTCTCTCCAGCTGGCCGTGCAGATGTTTGGGTGGATTTTGGGGGTCTCTGGTTGGATTTTTGGGGTTAGTACTCACTCCAGGTGGCCCTGGGGACCGTGTCCACCCCCAGCCCGCGCCGCCTTGGCCCGGTGTGACGC